CAGTATTCGGATGTTACTATTCATGATTCATAATACTATTCATGTTTTTACTTTTTCACCAATTTTCTTGTGCTTATTATATTCCTTTACTAAATCACTTAAAAGACAATTTCTGTGTAGTATTGGTATCATAATTTACTGTACTTCTATTGAGTTAGCCATGCTGATGTTCTTTGTTACTTCCATTTGTTTAGGGAGTGCATCAACCTTATACCTCACAATAAGTTTTCGTTTGCAAAAATATGGCTTCTAGCAGCTCAATTTGAAATACGTCAACTGAATCTCAAGGCTGCTCGACAAATATTAGGAAATGCCATTGGAAAGGCTCCTAAAGATAAGGTAATATATCCGTGGACACGAACACAACTTCTTTTAATTGTAATCTGGTTAACTTTTCACGCATTGTTACTCTTTTGACAACAGATTTTTAAGAAGTATATAGAAATAGAACTGCAACTTGGTAATATTGACCGGTGCAGAAAATTATATGAAAAATATCTGGAGTGGTCTCCAGAAAATTGTTATGCTTGGAGCAAGTATGCTGAGTTGGAGAGATCGTTATCTGAGACAGAACGAGCCCGAGGAATTTTTGAGCTTGCAATTGCCCAACCAGCGTTGGACATGCCTGAGCTCTTGTGGAAGGTACAAAATTTATTTCTTGTGCTATGTCAAGACACTCGCATTTATTTGTCTGACATCATTCTTGATCCAGCATCAGGATTTATTTAAATTTCGGATTTGAATGGAACGGGAAATTATGGAAATAGGTGGGTAGCTTTTTTTACTTAAATAAAATACAAAGATCACTTTTAGGAGCCTTATACTAAACCATTGAAAAAGAAGGTAGAAAAGTAAAAATTTAGGCCTTTATATGCAAACTATTTTCTGTTTTATAATTTTATGATGCCTTGACGTGTAAAAAGTTGAATGAATAATGGGGAAATTTCTAAAGAAGAAAGTAATGTTTCTACTTTGTAGATATTATTAGATGATTAGGGGAAAAAGAATTATTGACGATGTAGAACACTGCAAATTAGCGTTCAACAGAATTTAATTGAAAATCTCTGAAACTTTCATTAGGTTTTTAGTTGATTTAGAAGTGGAAAAATTATATTTTTCAACTGAAAAAGTTGAGTAGTTGTATGTTTTCAACTGCTGCACTCATATGGTTATGCCCTGGTGTGACAGCCTCTTTTTTCATCATTCCTTATTTGCCTTCTATTGTTTGTTTTATATCTTGCATTTTGCATACCTCGATAACTATATTCACATTAGTCATAATGTAACTATGAATTTTGTTGACACAAAACAGGCATTCATTGACTTTGAGACTGCTGAGGGTGAATTTGATAGAGCAAGAGCACTTTATGAAAGGCTTCTTGACAGAACAAAGCACTTGAAGGTATGGATAAGCTACGCTGAATTTGAGGCAACAGCTATGGATGTGGACAATGAAGACTTGACGGAACATGAACAAAAGAAGCAATGCATTGAGCGTGCTAGAAGTATGTGATCCCAGTGCTATATGGCTCCTATGCTGTTAATTGGTTGTTTTCAGTTAGTTTGAACATAAGTCAGATAGTTTTCTGAATCCCTTCATAATCTTGTTTGTGCTTGTATCAGGGGTGTTTGAGAAGGCTCTCAACTACTTCAGATCATCTGCTCCAGATTTGAAAGAAGAAAGGGCAATGTTATTGGAAAAATGGCTCAACATGGAGAGTACATTTGGAGAGCTGGGTGATGTTAGCTTAGTCCAGTCTAAGCTGCCCAAGAAGCTCAAAAAGAGAAGGCACGTTGCCACTGAAGATGGTTCTACTAGGTATGTAACTATCTCTGTATGCTTTCTATAGTTCCCACATTCTATATGGTGATAGCTATTCAGTTTTCTAACATCATTCCTGTTAATTTAATTTTGCAGAATTGAAGAATTTATCGACTTTTTGTTCCCTGAAGAAAGCCAGACAACTAATCTCAAGATCTTGGAAGCTGCTTACAAATGGAAGAAGCAAAAGTTGTCTTCCGATGATTAACCAATGATAGTAGTTATATTTTTAGTGTGTATATATTGGGGAAAGAGTTAATTCTTGTATAACTAGCAAATACAGTGTGTCATCTACCTTCACATCATAAAATTCTTAGACCATTCCCTTTCATTTTAAATGTAATTTTTATTAGTTGTAGAAATAGAGATCTCAGGCAGTGGCGTCTGCAGTGAATGCAATCCTGAGTTTTTAAAGTTTTGACCGATAAATGCATTTGAGGAACATGTGTGAAATTTTTCTGAAGGGTCAACAAAGTCTATTTATGGTAAAATATTTGACAATCGCAATAATATTTGTAAGTTACAACAATTTTAATTTAGAAACCAAAACCATCAATCACTCTTATGGATATGTTAGATTTCTAAATCTGATAGAATTTATTACAAATTAAGAAATTGTTATTAATTCTTAGAATATTTATACTGCCTTAAGAATTATATAATATGGTCTTTAACTATATCAATTTATTAATTGAATGATTTACCGATAGCAGACAATAAAAAAGTAAACTTTATCTGAAATCTTTTTAACGTTTTGAAGCGCTAATTAAATTATTTATCTCAAAATTCAAAAATAATTTCTCGTATGTTATCAAAATAATTTATAGCCGAATCTATCTTATTTTCTTTAGATATTTTTTTTAAATGTATATTGCCATATAATGGTCGAATATTTAACTTTAATCTCATAGTTTTTACTATATTTATAATTTTAAAAAAATCTGATAATTGTGGTTCAACAATATGAAAATATGGCAATCATTCTGCACACCAAAATCTATATGAAAATTTTTAAAAATTCATTAGCTACATTCACAATTAAAAATGTAAAAGAAAATAAAATGTTATCATGTTTTAGATCAGACTTTTTCTTTTTTTCTTTTTTTTTTTAACACAGGGTAACATTCATACTAGCTATATATTTTTTTCAAAAAATTACACAACTCATTATCATATAGTTTTACAGATTATAAATAACTTAGAGAATTATCTTAGCGCCTTATAAAAAACTCGATAATTTTTTGTTGCCTATATTTATTATCAAATGCATGCTCATACAGACAATCTCCTATTACCGAGTAGATTGTGAAAAGAAATTGTTTGATAATCTTTATTTTATTTTATTTATCTTTTATTTTTATTATAATTTTATGTGTGCTATCTTTATCTTATCACTAAGTTGATTTATAACTTATTCACTGAATTATTCATAAAACTTGTAGAATTTATCTTTATTTTATTATGTTATAATGTGTGCATTTATAATTTATTCACTTATTTATCCTTAATAAAATGAAAAAAAGTACTAACTTATCTATTATTATATCAACTGAAGCTAGCAAATCCGGCTACAGGGTTTACCTGTAAAAGTTATACGATCTATTGATTTTTTATTTATTTTATTTTTCTTTGATTTTGATAAGCTAAAAGAGTATTTAGTCCAATGTAATTTTATTTCTTAAAAGAAAGAAAATACCAAGATATCGATATCCCCATAATCCGTTCAGTTTTTATCTTTTAATTTTCAAATTAAACTCAATTATATCTAGTTATCGCATTATATATTAACAAATATTCATTTTCAATAAACTATAACGTAATAATGTGATAAAATAATATCAACTACAATAATAATGATGATAAATAATATAATAAAGTAATAACAACTATACTAATAATGCTGATAAAAAATAAATAAAGATAAAGATAAAAATAATGATAACATAACAATAATAATATATTTATAATATCTCCACATTTTCCATTTATATTAACAAATTGAATAATCCATGCTTATTATTAGAAACAATTCTTTCACTTTTTTTTCATTGAATTTATTTATCCTTATACAACAATTTTGCCTTGGATTATTTCTCGTCAATATTTCTAATCCCTTCGGATTGGTGCAAGTCGAGTTCCATTCCCAGGTAACTGTTTCCTTCTTTTATGTCGATGCATTTTTCACATCACATCTTTCATTCACATTTTGTTGAAGCAATTCCGACTTCCCTTTTCCCGCTAATAATTTTCCCTAGATTTGTAATTTCAATTTGGAATAATCACTGCATCAATACTCTGAAGAAACATTGAGTTCATGATGAAAAATAATGAATTCTATTTTATGATAGTTTTCTTCATTCTAAGAGCTTATCAGAAACAATAATATAATATTTGAGGAGAGATTTGATTGATTGTAAATCAAAGAGGAAATTATAAACTTATGGACACTTTCTTTTATGGATCTGTGTTTTTGCATTCATCTTCATTCCATGTATACCTATACCTGTATGTTCTGGATACTAAATTCTCAGTTCTTCAAGCTTCTGGGAGAACAAGTTTCTGTCTCGAATGAAGAAACTTATTATGACACAGATACTATGATGTTGTGCATTTATTTGCATCTATGGTATATATTAAGCGCACAAGATACAAGTTCATCCAGAAGCTGCAGAGTGCATTTACAATTACATAAGCATACATTGTCATTTAGAATCTTCTCTTAATCTGTGATGTCTGTATTCACTTTTCAGTTTCAGGATTCCTATTCATTTTCTGAAGAAATGAAGAGTTCCTAGCAAGAAATTTCCCTCTAAAATTAATCTTTTCGAATGTCCCAATAAAAGGATGTTCAAGCACCGTTTAAGGGGATTCTCCAATTCCTTTAGGAGTCAAATTGATCCTCAAAATTCCGAAGCACTCAAAAGAACAAAAACAGGTGCAGATCATGTATACTTGTGTCTTTTCAGATCAAAATAAGTGTTTTGTCTTCGTTAATATGCATGATAAAAAAATTCATTCAATGAAAATGCAGGTTATCATAATGAAATTCTAATTCTGATAAAAGAACAATATCAAAATTAGTTTTATGATGATTTCTCTTCAATCATAGGCACTTTGCAATGTCAACTTCCATCAACTACTTTTCAATATTTATTCATCTCTTATGTTGTTGACAGACATGGAAACCGAGCTCAGCAGAATCGCAAAGCTGATAAAAAATGAAGAGCAATGCAAAAAAGATGGGAACTCCATGAAAGAGAAAAAGTTCGTGTGGCTGGTAGAGGATTTCTACATTCAATCACTGTATCCATTGTACGGTGATCTCACCGGAGAGTACGTAAAGTCAGGTCCCAGCAAAGTGGATAGGATGTCCTCAGCATCTTCCTCTAGCTCGGAGTCTGAGTACTTTTCCTCAGAGGAAGTAGATTCAAATTCAGACATCAATGATTTTCCCAGAGAAAGGGAAGCTTCTACTCCTCAAATCCTTAATCCAGAGCTTCAACTTGAAAGCCAATCACGTCAAGTTAAACAACTCTTGTTTGCAAAGAACGCTGATTTGCACAGACGAGTTTTTGAGCTTCAACTGTTACTTAACGACACCAAAGGAACAGTGTCTGTGTTACAGGGAAAACTCCAAACCAACGAGGATCGCTCAGCAACCAAAATTGCTGAATTGATGGCACGGATACATGAACTCGAACAAGAGGCAAAGTCTCTGCGGACTCAGAAAGGAAAAGTGGAAGAGAAGATTAGACGCAGCAGAAACGAAGCATGGACCCAGAAGAAGGACTTCGATGACCAGATTAATGCCATGCAGCAAATGTTAGATTCCGTGAGAAATCACAACAAAGAGTTGGAGGTACAGTTGGAAAGAACGAGAGTAGAAGCTTCGCAATCATGCTCGGTTAGAATACAAAATCATGGGGAGGATTTGGCTGAAGGAAAGGAGTGTTTTCTTGCAAGAATAAAGGACCTGGAACTGGAATTGGAATCTCGATGCAGCAAACAGCACGATTTGGAGGATAGAAACAAAGAACTAGAAAGAGCAATGGCACGGGGAGTGCAAGAGATATCTGAACTTTTTATTTATCATGAGGGTTGTGAAGAAGGAGCTACCATACATGCTGAAGCTTTACAAACTTTAGTTGAAAAATTAAAAACCAGGGTGGCTGATCAGGAGGAAACGATAAACAAGCTAACAGAAAGCATTGAAGAAATAGGTGCAGAAAACAGACATTGTAAGGATTGGATAAGAGAAAGAAATGGTGAAGTGAAAGAGATGAAAGTGAAGGTAGATGGGCTTGAGATGTTGGTGGGTGAGAAAGAGTAGAAAGAGTTGATCTTGAAAGAAATGGTGTGGAAGTTAGAAGCGATGGTGAGCAAAGAAGCAGGGGAGAAACTGAATCTGATAAAACAAGTGAGGTAGCTTGAAAGGAAAGTAGAAAACTTGGAAAGGGATGTGAAAGAGAAGGATGGTGATTTGGTGGGGCTTGCGGAGAAGAAGAAAGAAGCAATAAGACAACTTTGTTCTCTGGTTGAGTTTCATCGTGATCGCTATGTCTATCTAAAGGATTCCATGTCAAAGAGAAACAAGTTTTGGTAACAGAAAACCAGTCTCCATTTGCGTTTTCAATAGTCATTGTATTTGCTTCAAGAAACACACATTTTTTTGTGCTTTCTTAGAGAATGCCATTTCTGTTAACTTTTAGGTACGAGGTTGTCACTATCAAACAACCAACCACATTATACCTCTTAGCTGCTTCTGCCACCAATCATGGCAAAAGACTCCTACATTATGATCCTGCGTGCCTATGTTCGATTAGATAAATTGTTAGAAAGTTTTGGTTTGTCCATTTTCTTTCATGATCTATGGGAAACAAAACAATTAACTTGTATTCACTTTCCCTATCATTCCACTGCACGTGTTTTTTCTACTTATTTTTGGATCTCTTTGTATTTTCTTGGATTCGGATCACCTATTGATTAAGTATCTGTTGTTCTCATGATATTATAATTAAGTTTCACGGTAAGGTTTATAGTATTTTATTTTCTTCTATTATATTAATAGTTCAGATTGATTTCATAATTAAAATTTAATATAATAAGAGATTATTGATTATGGAAAACATTAGAAGGGAGACTTTAGATTCTACATTATTGTTGCTTCTTTCTAAAGGATTGTATATTACTGACATCAACAAAGAGATTAATGTGCAACTCAACAAAATGACGGGAGTATACAATTAGATTCCTTAAATGTCTACAAGTACACAATTATTCCTAGTATTTAGAGTAAGTATAAGAATGTTGAATTAACTCCATTATTCCCAATAAACTCATGTCATTACATGTGGGTAAAATTATATATATAT